TATTACTACAATGCTGATTGAAATATATTATGTAATTAAAAGGATGTGTTTAAAACTAAAAAATGTGCATTTTAAAAATTTAATATAGGGCTGGGGATTTAGCTCAGTGGCAACACTTTAGCTTGTAAGTGCATTGTCCTGAGTTCGATCCCCAGTACCGCAAAAACAAAAACAAAAGCAAACATAAAACAAAACAAAAATTTAATACATATCATTGCTGATTCTACCTCTCAAAATGCTAGAATTCACTACTCTTTGTAACCTTGTATATCCTCTAAAGAGTTTTCTTGATGGCCCAAGATTTAATCATTTTGGTGTGTTTGTATGTTTGTATGTATGTATACTATCTATCTATCTATCTATCTATCTATCTATCTATCTATCTATATCTTTGTTAGACTTAAAGTCTTGGGCAGGGGATTTACCTCAGTGGTGCTGCTCTCCACCTGCCTCCATAAGCACAAGGTCCCAAGTTCGATCCCAGTACAACAACAAAAAAAAGTTCCTTATGTCAAGAGCTATATCTTACTACATTTGTATTCCCAATGCCTACAGCAATGTATAGCATACAATAGAACTCAACAACTGTTAGACAAAACAATGAATGTCTAACCACTTCTAGTAGGCCACTGTTTCTATCCCACATCCCACCTACCACCTTCCCTGGGCTCTCGAGAACACTGTGAATACTAAAAATTGCTAATATGCCAGTGTTCCTAGGTAAATGTGACTGTGCACACCAGACATTGTAATTATTTAGTAATAAAAAAAGCCACATTTAAGTCACATTTCAAATATACTATTCTAGGCACAGTGGTGTGCACCTATGGTCCCAAGTACCTGAGAAAGCTGAGGCAGGGGAATCATTTAAGTCCCAGAATTTGAGGCCAGCCTGGGTAACCTAGTGAAACCTTGTCACAAAGTTATAGTATTTATAAATTTTTTCATGAATTTTAAGAGTTTACAGTAACATGGTAATGTTGTATGTGCTAATTAAAACAAAACTTAAAAATTTATCTTTACAGTCTCTTCTGCTTATTACTTGCAGAAATATTACAAGTTTTTCTCATTAGTTCCCCCTTTTTCCCTACAGAAGATCCAGAGTACAGATACTCATCGAATAAACATTAATTCCATGACTCAAGGGAGGTCAATCCCTCTTTTAATGATCTTAAAGTATTAGTCATAGACAGTTCACTGTTTAAAAATAACATCATGATTTGTAAAGTATACTTTGTTTCTTTATCTAGAAAATGTATCTATAGAAATAATCATAGTACGGAAGCTGAATTTTTAAAATAAAGGGCATATTTATCTTTTAAAATTCAGCTTTTATACAATGATACACTTACATTGAAACCCAACTTTTTAATCATATTATTCATTTATACTACTCATGTTCTGTAAAACATGAACGATATTTCCTTTTTAACTTTTAATTAAATGGTCAATAAAAACATTTTTTAGGTTAACAATCATATGAAAAACTCTTTTCCACTGTTACCATAAAAAAGGTAATTGTGAGATGAGGGATACATTCATTTGGCAATAGTAATCATTTATTACATATATGGAAACATCATGCCTATAATCCTAGCACTTGAAAGGCTGGAGCAGGAGGATCATGAATCTGAGGCCACTCTGGGCTACATCTGGGTGTCCCAGGACAGCCTAGATGATATAGCAAGGCCCTGCCTCAAAAAACTCAAAAATTAAAAATATTTAAAATATGCTGGAGAGTTTACAGCTCAGCAGTAGAGACTCTGCCAATCATGTGAGAGGCCCTGGGCATAATCCTTAGCACTAGTAAACAACAAACAGACAAAAGTAAATAAAAAAATACGTATATTTATATGAAATAAAAGTAAATATACATGTATAAAACAGAAAAGTTCTTAAAGCACTAGAACCATTCAAATAGCTGAATGGCTTAATAAGCATTTAGCTCATAAGCTCAATAACATAAAATATTCCTATGTATAGTTTGATCATTAATCTATTTGAGAACATCTGAAAGAACATACTGACAATCAATAGATGGAATATTAATTACATGGTCTATACTTTTAGAAAGTCATACTAATACGCTATTTAAATTTATGCAGATTTCCCCCAATCTTTGACAATTTATTTACAATTATTAATTCCATAGGCACGATTCCCTCAAGATGGACGCACACTAAGGTATTCCCTCATTTCTTCAACAAATATATGTTCCCCCAAAAGTATTTTACATGAATAAGATACAAGTTCAGTCTCAAGAATTCACTGATTACTATTATACATTATTCGATTTAACTGAAAAGTGTTCAGAATTTAGACAACTTACAGTGACCCTTAATCAATCAGGCATTTTGCCATCTACAGTGAAAATGGTACAACTACGACACAAATTAATCTCACTTATGTTTATTCTGAGTCCAGGCCAAGACCTCTGCTAAAATCAAGGCAGGCAGAAAAAAAGAAATCTCAAGATATATAAGAACCCAAACTTTAACATAAAAAACTGTTGTTCTTTGGGGGGGGCTTATTACCTGGGCTTTCATTCTCAGTAATCCTTTCAGAACCTTTTCAGTGGGCTCATTCACATGTATTTTATACATATTTTTAAAGGGGATTTATTGTTCACAATTTTTTGAGAGGTGCTAGGGATTGAACTCAAGCCTTAAGCATGCTACGCAAGTATTCTACCACTGAACTACAACTCCAGCCCTTTTTCAATTTTATTTTAAAACAGGATTGCCACAGGCTGGCCTCAAACTGCTGCCTCAGTCTCTTGAGTAGCTGAGGTTACCGGTATTACACCTGGTTTGTCCATAGAAATTTTATTTTATGGTGCTGAGGCTCAAACCAAAGGCCTTGAAGAGAGCCCTAGCACTGAGCCACATACCAGCCCTTTCCACAGTAATTTATACCTTGCTTTTTCCATGTAATAATATATGATAAACATCTTTCCACATCAGTATTTATCTAGATTATTATTTTAAATGGATGACTAGCCCCTGACTGTATGCATATCACAACCATATCAATTCCAAACTGCTGAACATTAATTTCAGGTGTATATTTTAAAGAAAGGTAATATACATATGATCAAATAATTCAAGAAATACAAAGTTGCATGCATTCTATGCCTGCAACTCAAACCCCCAGTACCCTGGCTAAAAGCAGCCTTACCAGTTTCTGGTATTCTTCCAGAGATATTCTATAAATATACAAGTACATTTGAGCATTTAATAAATTACAAATATTGGGCCAGGGATTTATCTCAGTTGTGCCACGCAAGAACAAGGTGCCAAGTTTGATCTCAGTACCATAAATAAATAGAGGGATAAATAGAATTACAAACATTAACACATTTATATATAGTTATGCACTTTTAGCGCTATTTAGAAGACTCATGATTTTTTACTATTATGAACAATATTAGTCAATGTCCTTATCTGAACCTGTATACATATTATTTGCCATTAGTACAAATATTAAACTGACTCAAATAGAAGTGTATTCTATATCACCATTGCTTTTTGTCTTGATTTTGACCAGTGAGTCATAAGAAGCATGAATACACTTATAAATTTGTAAGAAAAAGATTAACACCTTGATAGAAAATAGGCAATTTCATGAATGGGAAATACTAGTGGCCAGCAAGCATATATAGAAGCAGTCAAAGAAATGAACATATTAAAGATACCATTTAGGGCCGGGGATTTGGCTCAGTGGTCCCACCGCCTGCCTCGCAAGCACAAGGGTGTTAGTTCAATCCCGGGCAACCCCCCCCCAAAAGATACCATTTAATCCTATTTGACAAAGACATAACTAACAATAAAAACAGAAGGGTGGAAAAGGTATGGAACAACAGGCACTTTCCCTGGTGGGAATAAAAATCAGTTTTCCTAGGCTGGGGACAAAAAAACATACTGCCAGATTAAGCTCTAGAGAAGATATATCTTTTTGGTGCTGAGGATGGAACCCAGGGCCTTGTACATTCTAAGAAAGCACTCTACAACTGAGCCACATTGCCAAGCGCGCTGGCAATATGTTCTAAAAGTCTCAAAAATACAATCATCTCTTGAACCACTCATTTTAGTACTATGCATATTTTCTAATAAAACGGTCAGGGATGTTTAAAAAAGTATACACGTTGGGGGTTTAGCTTAGTAGTAGTGTGTTTAGCATTCATGAGGACCTAGCAGCAAAACATATAGAGACATTGAGCAGGGTGTGGTGGCGCATGCCTGTAATCCCAGCACTTGGGAGGCTGAGCCAGGAGGATCGCTGTGAGTTCGAGACCAGCCTGGGCTACACAGTAAGTTCCAGGGCAGTCTCAACTACATAGTGAGACCCTGTCTCAAAAAAAAAAAAAATTGGGAAAAAAACATATAGAGACATTGAGCAGGGTGTGGTGGCGCATGCCTGTAATCCCAGCACTTGGGAGGCTGAGCCAGGAGGATCGCTGTGAGTTCGAGACCAGCCTGGGCTACACAGTAAGTTCCAGGGCAGTCTCAACTACATAGTGAGACCCTGTCTCAAAAAAAAAAAAAAATTGGGAAAAAAACATATAGAGACACAATGCATATACTGTATAATGATATTCAATAAAGTACTAGTAGCAAAAAGAAACCTTAATATTCAACAACAAAAGACAGTGCTATGGTAACATGAGATATACTATTAAAAATGACAGTTGTACAGCTTGGGATGTAGTTCAGTAGTACCGTGTTTACTAATTATATACGAGACTCTGGTTTCAACTTCCAACAACTCCTCTCCCCCTAAAAATATAGGCTGCAGAATACTAAAGGACACAAGCAAATGTTCATGATGTTGTATTAAGTGAAAAATGCTGGTTACAAGGCTGGAATTATAACACAGTGAGTGGTACACTTGCTTAGCATGCACAAGGTCTTGGGATTCCCAGCACTGACAAAAAAAGGGGTGAGGGGCATAATTCCAATAACAAAAAATACAGAGCTGGTAGCTGAAGGTAGAGCACTTACTAGCATGTGTGAGGACTCCAGTGAAATTCCCAGTACTGGAAAAAAAAAACAATAAACAGATAAATACATAAAGACTTAGGCTAAATGACACATAAAAATTCTACTGTGGTTATCTCTGGGCAATGGGATTACTGTTTTTTTTTCTTTGTGCTTTTCTTAATCTTTAAAATTTTAATCGCTTCTTGGCCTTTTGGCTAAGATCAAGTGTAATAAAATTTTATCCAGCAAATATATTAATTCTTTTTCTTTTCTCTTTTTTTTTTTTTTTTTTTTTTGGTACTGGGGATCAAACTCCGAACCACTGAGCTAAATCCCCAGCCCAAATATATTAGATTCTAATAAAAAGAAATAAGCAGTTAAACTCTTCATTAATAGTCAGAAGATGCTTATATAATCCTACCTACCACACCGGAGGTATTATTTAACAATATGCTGTATCATAAGGCTCCCTATTTATCTGTGAATTTATTAGCCTAGTAAATTCTGAATATTAGGGTCTGGTACTAAAACTTTTCAGCCTCTGACAAAAGATAATTTTCCTAACTTACAACCAGGAAAGGAAAGGATCTGTTCTTTGGTGGGTTTTGCTGGGGCTTTACATATGCTAGGCAAGTGCTCTACTACTGAGCTGCACTCTCAGCCTTTTTAATTTATTTTAAAACAAAGTCTTACAAAATTGCCTAGGCTGGCCTCGAAATTTCGATCTCCCTGCCTCAACTTCCCAATGCACCACCATGCCCAGCTGTTCTTTGTTTCATTCTTTTGCCTATTATGAGAGGGCCTGCCAGTTTGCTACTTAAATAACTGCCTCTAAGCAATTTTCCTCTCTATACATGAGGCATGATCAACATTTATAGTGAATGATTAATTTTTTTAAAGAAAATTATTACCGTAAAAGATACATTGCCAGGTTGGGCATGGTGGTTCATGCCTATAATCCTAACACTCAGAGGCTGAGGCATGAGGATCACTACAATGTTGAGGCCAGCCTGGGCTCCACAGTGAGTTCAAGGCCAGCTTGAATTACATAGTAAGACCTTGTGTCAAAAAAACAAAAAACAAAAACCAAACCAAAACAAAACAAAAAGACATATTCCCATTGGTCACACTGACTTCAAACACACTGGTCACTTTCTGAAGCAGTTCTGGAAGTCCTCACGTATATCTTTACAAGGTTTGATAGAAAATACAGTAAATACTACTGTCTAGTGCATCCAATGGAAGGACAGGCTTGTAGAAACATTACCATATCCTAACCAGGCACGGTGATGCATGCCTAAAGCCTACCACTTGGGAGGCTGAAACAAGAGGATCACAAGTATGAGTCCCACCTGGACAACTTTGCAAGAAAATCCTGTCTAACTATCAAAACTAAGAGAAAGTGGCTAGGGCTATAGCTCAGTGCGAAGGCCCTGAGTTTGAATTCCAGTAAAGAAAAAAAAAAAAAAGACAGCATCTTCATCCAACTTATTCACTGGATCTGGCACCATGTAACTTCTGGCTCTTCTCCAGTCAAATGACCATAAAAAGTAAATGTTCTGAATCAATGCAAGACACCACAGGAGCCATAACAGCACAACTAAAGACTTCCAAAATGGCTTCAGAACTTGTCAAGAAAGATGGGATATGTTTGTTCAAAGCAAGGAGGAGAGTGTGTTGAGGGGAATTACAGCAATGTGGCTTTTCCTGTGATAAAATTAAAACAAACTATTCACTGTATTTTATAATCAAAATGTGAAGGGAAGAGAAATTGCAAATTAATGTCAATGTTATTGACCATCAAGTTTAAAAAGAGAGAGGATATGGGTGAAGCCCCAGAGAAAAAAAAGCAGTAATCAAGTCACCTCTAAGCTATCCGGTCAGAAGCAAAATGCCTTGGGGTCCACAAATTGGATGGCAGTAACTCCGCATCAGAGAGGGCTAGGAAATAGTTAACACATCACTGCTACTTATTTTTGAGTTGAAAATAAAAGGGCTTTACTGATAATATTTCTGGAGTTCTGGGGCCTGGTAAGAAGAAAGTAGTCTCCCCAATCTTTGGCCAAAAATTTATCTAACATAATTGTTATAAAAGGAACAGGTAGCTCAGAATTCAGTATACTGAAAAGTGAGAACATTTTGTAGCTACAAGCAAAAATTCTTCAAAATAACTATGTCCGTGTTGAACAGGAGAGTAGAAATCACCCTTTTCCCTTGTACAGATAAAAAATTATGGCATAAAGAAGCTAAAGATTTGACTAAGACCATAGAGCTGATTAGAGGCATAAAACTGGAACTCACTCTGCTCTCATATTTAACCAGGTGATTCACTCTGACATAGTGATTAGGATTCAGTACTTACATTTAGATGGCTCCACAAATGCCATGCTAAGGTTCTTTTAATGGATGATTTGGTAGGCGTAATATCTACCCTAGAGCTTTCTCAGAATGAAGTACTCCTCCTCTTCTGCTTGTTTTTTCCAGGCTGGGGGTTAAACCCAGAACCTCATATATGCTAGGCAAACACTCTATACTGAGCTACACCAGCAAACCCTAGAACAGGCAAACCTTTTAGAGATGGAGTGCTCAAACTGTAACCTAAAACCCACTTATAGCAAAGTGTCAAACACCAAGTCATATATTAAATGAAAACAAAGTAAGAGAGCTTTCAAACAGCCTGCTGTGGCACACATGCCATAGTTCGCCACCACTGCCCTAGAATGAAGTATTCTTTTCCATGATTATGCTGGGATAACAATCAAGTGGTGAAACAAGTTCCTGATAAGAGCATACACCTTTTCTTTTTCCTTAGTAAAAATATTTAGTTCTATCTGAAAGCCACTGTGCTGTCTATGCTATCTATATTCAAATATTTAGTAGATTTGACCGTCTAGTTCTCAATTTTAAAAGTGAATAGCCAGGTGTGATGGTGCATGCCTGTAATCCCAGCACTCTGGGAGGCCGCGGCAGGAGGATTCCAAGTTCCAGCCCAGCCTGAGTAACTTTGCATCTTATTGAAACTCCTACAATTTTAAAAAGAATTCAAAACAGTTAGGGATATAGCTCAGTGTAAAAGTCCTGGGCTCAAATCCCCAGTACTACACACACAAAAAGAACAGGCATGGTGGCACATAGCTGTATTCCTAGCACCTAGGAGGCCGAGGCAGGAGGATTGGGAGTTTGAAGCCAGCCTTGAGTACATACATAGCAAGGCCCTGTCTCAAAAAATAAAAATAAGGGATGGGGATTTAGCTCAGTGGTTCTGCTGCCTGCCTAATGATCATAAGGACCGGTGCTCGATCCCTGGTACCAAAATAAATTAATTAATTAATGAAAACAAAATAAAATAAACTGTATTGCAGGAATTACAAACCAAATTAGAATAGTATAGCATAATGTCCATGAGTACAAACATTATTTACAAATTAATTTTCATTTTCTTAGTCCCATATTATAGCTATTTAACCCCATGTAAATATTCTTACTAATCTACTAAATATGCTGAAATGACACTAAAATTTTTAAAATTTTAAGCATGGGTTTTTGTGATTCTACAACCCATCCTCTTTTCTTTCACCATGTTACCTTACCTTTGATAATAACTAAAATTTGTAATATACTTTATAATTTAGAATATTTTCATATGTGGTGTCTAATTTAAACTACACAGCCTATCAAAGTCTTCATTTAAAATACTAGGCAACCACAGCTGTTTGTTACTCATCAAAGGTCATGAGGTCAGTAAATGACAGTTAAAAAAATCAAGCCCAGTGATTATGACAGACAGAGCTCTACAGAAATTACTAAGGGTTACTGGCAGAAGGGGTAGTACAGTGAGGTAGCAGAATATGTTAGGCTTTCTGCCCTTTTCAGGCTTGAAAAATCTACTTAGAGCTTTAAAAGGTAAATCATATAGCAATATATAGTGAAAGGTTTGTGGCTTGACATCAACGAAATTATTCCAGAAATGAGTACACAAATTCAAATCGAATACAAGTATTTATAGATAATGAATGCACAGTAGCATCAGCTTTGCTCAGTTTCAAAAAAAAAAAAAGCCTCAGCAGGCAGGATGTTGAGGCAGTAAGATTCTGGGTTCATGACCAGCCTGAGCTACACAGGTGAGACTCTTTCCTAAAAAAAAAAAAACAAAAAACAAAAAACAAAACTCAAAACAAATTAGCCTTGGCTAGGCCCAGTTTTGTAAGCCCATGATCCCAGCTGGTGGGGAGA